AATATAATTAAAACAAGTTAGTAAAGAATATGCAAGGACAAACTGATACTGTTATTGTATACAGTTCTCCATTTTAATCTCTTGACTGAGAAAAAAAGTTACCCAATGAGCATTCACATGTAGAAGCAGACACTGCATAACCACCCACTTGAGTTGTCTGGAATAAAATTTATGCACTAAAAGTCAAAGTAAAATTCGAAAGTAAAATCTGCCTTGAAACCCCCCCCCCCCCCCGGAAGCAAGAACAAAGTCATGGAAAAGTCAATTTACAATATAAAAGGGATAATCTAAAATGCAATAACATGTACGTGTACACATCACTTTCTCATAAAAAAAAATGTTTTATATGAACATGACGATCCCTTGTTTCATCAATTTTTTAAGTGCACTGATCATGAATCACACCTACATGTATCTACCTACCCGGTAGGTTACCGCGACTTTGTATGATACTTCTCATCGACGCCTGGACTACGGTTTGCAGAGTAATTTGTTTTCTTTTCGTACAAAACTTCAGGATATGTTCACTGGTAACAGGATTCTCAGATTTGCGCGAAAGTTTCGGCTATCGGCTGTCTTAATTAGTGTAAAATATAGTTACAGTCCCCGGACTCTCCTTTATCCATCTCCATGTTCACAACAATCTAGATGCGACTGTTGACAAAGGTACCTACTTTCACTTTGGAGACCAATGAAAAAAGCCCTTACAAAGCCTATCGAAATTGTGTCGATTAATTATTACCCACAATGCAATTTTTGCACATACATCACAAGATCATAGAATATGCATCACAAGATTATTGAATATACATCACAGGATTTTGAACATACATCACAAGATTTTAAACATACATCACAAGATTATCGAATACACATCACAAGATTATAGAATATATATCACAAGATTTTGAATATACATAACAAGATATTGAACATACATCACAAGACTTTTGAATATACATCACAAGATTTTGAACATAAATCACAAGATCACAAGATTTTGAACATACATCACAAGATTATCGAATAAAGCAATACACGCCATAGTTAACCGATTGACAATTCTGTGACTGTATTCAATTGCCATCTCTTATATATATATGATTGTATGAATTCAAAAATACTCTGAAATCGGTAATTTTTGTTGGAGTTTAACTTTCGTGGTTTTTCGAGATATGCAAAGAACCACGAATTCATGACCACCACGAAATGTAAAATTTATATATAAAACTACTCAATACATCTCCAACCATAAAATCAAATCCCCACAAACTATTTTTTTCCTCAAACCTCGAAAATTTGACCCCAAGAAAATATGTGATTTTACAGTATTGAAAAGCTTCATTAACCATGTTTTAACACATATGTCACAAGTTCCGTTTTTACCAAGTGCTATTTTCACCAAGTTCCACTTTTATCAAGTGCCGTTTTCATATTAGTGTCGGTTTTAATAAGTGCAGTTTTCACCAAATGCCGTTTTCACTAAATGCCATTTTGCATATATAAGGCGCAGTTTTCACAAGGTGGCATTTTTCCACTAGACTAAGTGCCGTTTGAACTAGAATTCATTAAATCTTGGTTTAATCGTGATCTCTTGGGGGCCAAGGTTGGGCTACAATATGGGGTCAAAAATTTTCAATGGAATAAACAGGAGGAATTCAGGAAAAAAAACAATCTTCTGAAGAAAGTAAAGTGATTCAGGTGATGGTAGTGGCCTTGGATCTCTTGTTACTCTTTTGCAGTTTCATTGCTTTGTATCTTAATTAGGCTGTTTTGTAACTTTTCCATGCAAAATGATTACAGATTAATATCTTTTTATATTTTAATGTTTGTGTATACTTAGATTGATTGATTGATTGGTTGGTTGCATGTTGTTTCACGTCCCATTCGAGGATTTTTCACCGATGAAGGCCTTCAAATTTAGACATTTACTCGCCATTCAGGGCCATTGAGCAGTGAGGGATCTTTATCTTGCCAACGCCTGCCCTGACACTGGACCTCGGGTTTTAAGGTCCCGCACTTTCAGTTCAAATTGCCGAGCACTTGGCAAAGGAACAGGCGCTACTTATTTTTACCTCTACTGGTCAGAGACCAGAAGAGCCTATGCGATAGTAAGGTCCCCACCGTCCGCCCGTCCGTCCGTCCGTCAAAATGCAACTCCTCCTACACTTTTGGACCGATGTCAATATAACTTGGTACAGAAGTAGAATATACTAAGATACATAATACTTTGTATTGGTTGTTAATGAACGGTGTTGCCATGATTACAAAAAATAGAAATTTCTGTGAAAATCTTGCAAAACGCTACTCCTCCTACAGTTTCAGTCCGATTTCAATATAACTTGGTACAGAAGTAGACTAATTCTCTTTTTCATTTTTTGATTTTGTTGAAGTCTTGCCATGGTTACGAAAAATAGAAATTTCTGTGAAAGTCTTTCAAAATCTAACTCTTACTACAGTTTTTATCCAATTGCAATTAAACTTGACTCAGAAAGGGACTAAAGGATCATTATTTTAATCATTGCTGTCGTCATAGTTTCAAGTACAAGTGCTACCTTTCTCTACTTTTTTAGGTAAAACCCAGTAGAGCTACAGTCTCGTCAGAAACTTCTGCTTTATCGACTTAGGTCAGTTCGCGGCCGGGGTTTGAACCCACGAAACTTCCAATCACAGAGCGATACTTTGAATAATGAGTTGGTATTTATGTTGTGTTGTGGTACATGTACATATTTTCTTAGCTGTAAATTCAAATACAATAACGTCGCCCGCGGGGCGCAGTGGTAGAGCATCTGCTCTAGAGTCGTGGAGGAAGGAGTTATTCCGTACGTCGCGGGTTCGAATCCCTGTGGGATGTGGAGACCGGTCTTTCGAATGATACCATATAAACCGAGGTCCCGTGTCGCAGTAGATGCTGACACGGAAAAGATCCCTCACTTCTCAATGGCACTGAGTGCCGAGTATAGGTCAAAATTTGCAGCTCTCCACAGGCAAGTGGTGGCGTCTCCATATGAGGGAAAAATACCCGAGAGGGACGTTAAAAAAAACAAACAAATACGATCACATATTCTGTTTTTTCTGTTAGCTTTAATCGTTCATTTTTTTTTTTTACCAATAAAATATAATTTTTACATTCTTAATGGAACCTTTGTATATTAAAAATCATAACAAAAATTTCATTGTGGAATAATTTAAGTTTTAGGATTAAATATATAGGAGATTCGAACCTTGGATTTCTAACCGCCTTTCAATTACATGTAGGCTAAGAATTACGCTTCTGTATGAAATATAGAGATAACGATCAATATTCAAGCTCAAAGTCCATTAAAGCAATACAAATCGGGAACAGAGCAAACACATACCTCCAAAACATCAGAGGTGGGACCAGGTATCATGGAGGAGTGAGCATCCGCTGCCGACCGTCATGATCGGGATATAACGGGAAAATCCGTCGACAATTCAGCGTGTTAATAATGGCCTAACAATTATATACTATCAAAAACGTCAGTCAGAGTATGACTTAATGATATATTGTATTTGCTGACAAGGTCATTGTACCGACCATAGAACTTACGAAATGATGACTTTAAACGAGACTGTTGATATACTTGTTTCATCAACTTGTTTTTCAATAACTTTTCTCGTTTTAGAAATTGTTCATACATAGAGCATGCTCTTGCGTATCGAATCAACTGTGAGAGATATATACCCCATCTGCAGGTGATAAGAGTATATTGCTGCATAAGCTTTCTTGGTAGATTACCCATAACGTTTTTAACTAGTAAAATATCCAAATATGAAACTGATGTGTCAGACTCTGTGGTATCTTTTATTTCAAGCTCTCTGGGTGTCGACATATTAATGGAAATTACTATTGTTAATTGATAATACTTCGTCGATACATCTAAATGTCGAGTTGAAGGCCACAGCAAGAAATTTCTTTTTCTCCTGTATAAGATTTTGAATAAACTCTGCTTCATATGAATACAAGTTAAATTGATGCAAAGCATCAAATCGGCCGCAAAAATATATTTCATATTGAAGAATTTCAACAAGAAAGAGTCCAGAAAGAGTCCAAAGAAAAAATCCAAATAGAAAAAGTATAGATACATTTTTACACTTGCTTTACTTTAATTCTGTGCATTTTTTTTACAATAGTTTTCAGTGCTCAATTGTTAAATATCTATTCAAATAAAAATAAACTCATTAATACGAAAATCGGACTACAATAAAGGATAGAAATGTATTATCATAAATTATTTGATTCAAGGACAAATGCAAGAAATATCTAAAATAATTGATTATGAATGTCTGAATTTCAACAAAAAGGACACAAGCTTCACGTGCTGATACCCTTTATAATGCCGATTAGTGTTGTGATAGATATGTATGTGAAGTGCAGAAAAAAAATTCATTGTGTCACTTGCAACTGCAGTGTTAATTCAAAACAAAATTCAGTTCTTATTCCAATTCATTAATTATTTAGGCACTGTAATTCATATCCGGAAACTCAATACGTTTTTTTTTATATCTTACGCACGCCCATGTTAGGGAGAACTGTATGAAACAACTTTTTATAAAATCATTAAATTAATAAATATCTGCAAGAAATGAAAAACAAATGAAACATAATAACAAAATATTTAGAGTTAGTTTTAAGCAATTTTTAAGGCTTTTATTCGTGACTTTTATGTTTCGCTGTTATCAATAAGGAATTAGTCCAACGAAGCAATAAAAAATAACGTCTCATTTCCCCATGTGCACATTCTAACACAACCACCAATAGTTCGGCCGCTGCTGCGGCCGATAACAAAAATAGGTCTGCTGACAACGGGGCGCAGTTGGTACCCATGGGATTCCAACAGATTGTTGGAAGACCTGGATCTCCAAAAACCACATAGATATTGTCAATCAGAAACTCGAGTATTTTTTTAATATTAACTTCAGAGTACTTGTGTGTACCATCAGAATGTTTTTTAACAAAATACTTTTGCAAATGACCAATGACAAGGTAAGTGAACTTACCAGTTCAATTTTTATTGAAAAAGCAGCTGTCAGTGATGTCAAAAAGCCTGGATTTTAATTTATCGTGGGGAAGGGATGTATACAGAGTTGAAAAATCGTAAGTATAAGTATTTATGTTATAGATTTTGGTAAATTTCTGTGATTTCAAATTTTTCCAAAATTTTTATTGGAATTTTTAAGTATCCACATTTGATTTACACCACTTCTCGAATATATTGTTGCAGAGTACTCCTGAAGTTTCTCCTTCATTACAATTAATATTTTAGTGAGGAGTAAAGAAAGAGGCTTGGTAGAAAGAACACTTACTGGAACCCGCTATTTATTTGTATTGAACGCTTTGAGCATGACTGGTGTTCATAAAATTATCACCCAGCAAACTGATTGATCATCATAATAAAAAAAGAAAAAAAGAAAGTTTCCCTATATTAACATTTTTACCTGATTCTTGATTCAATTAAAAAAAATCATTTATTTAAATTCAATAATTAAGAAATCTACAAGCCCCATCCAGTGTATGCAGAAAGCATGCAATTCTGTCATGTGATGAGGATATAGAGCTAATACATGTACCTTGTTTGTAATTTTATCTCGGATGAAGACATTTGAAATGTAAATATTTCTAAAGAATTCAGAAGCTCTTTATTTTCCGAAGGAGGTAAAAAAAAAAAATAATGCCTGTAGCTTGTAGCTTTATTTTGTAATAAAGAGACATACAGATTTCCTTAAAATTAACAGTGGGTATTTCCTGTGGGAAATCGACGCTTTTAAAAATACTCTTTTGGATCAAATAAAAGTGGATTATTTTTTTTCTTTCGCCGCTATATTTGAATGCCTAAATATAATTGTTTAAACAAATACTCAAAATTTTCTTAAAATAATGCAATACTGACAATTTCTATTAATCCTACTTTTAATATTGAAGAGCTGGTTTTGATGAACACCAGTCTGGAGTCGTGGTCAATCCTCGCTTGAAATGTGACATGCACCTGTGGAGGTAAGGAATGTGTACCCTTGTAGATAAACAAACTCTATTTATTTACCCTTATTTACATAAATCTTGGATAAAGGAAGCAAATATCATTTTAACACTTCTGAAGTGACAACATTTAAAGAAAAATAAATAAACTTAAGATAAGAATGTGTTGTGGATATTTACATGTTTAACAAAAGTCTTGTATTGATGCGTTATCTTTATTCATGTTTTACGTTAATCACGTTATCTTTAATTTTATCAAAAAATTATTTTAACTAAAGACTCGATTACTAACATCCATCTCCTTATTTATGAAGTAGCATTGACAAATATGAACATTTTACAATGAATTAAAAAGCTTAAAGTTCACGTTATGTTGCTAGGCTATACCTGTAACACTAACTGTTAAGGGTTAATTTGATGTCTTTTTAGTCAAATAAGACTAAGTGTCCCATTGATATTATTTTAATTATAACTGAAGAACGTGGAAATGTATCTAAGGTGATATAAAAATATCAAACAGTCGACAGTCAGGATACGGAGTAATTCCAACCTCACAAGGCTTGGTAATATCGTCGATACCTAACGTTACCTTAACACAAAGATGCAAGTGCAATAGACTCGAGAACTATTAATTTTTTTTTTTTTTTTTTTTTTTTTTTTTTTTTTTGGAAACGAAAAAGCAACCTAGGCCCCCTTCCTATATTTGCTTGCATTGAATATTATCTCACATTGCGGTCACGGAAATTATTTTTTTTTTTTCAAAGCGTTGTTACGGTACTCGTAATTTAAATTCCGTTTCATGGTCACACGGACGCGATACTTCATCTAGAGACAAAATAACTGTGTTGTTAGGTTAATATCCTTTGACTAAGTATTAATTGAAGGGTGTGTTCCTTCACTATTTTCATTATTAGGAGATGTACAAAAGGTGTTTATTTTATCTTGTTTGGGAATACAATAACCTTTGATATACCTGCGTAACCTACTAGTATTTATCTATTTAATATAAAATTTGGAAACATTAAAAGTTACTTATTCAGGCATATATTTTCCCCACCATGTTCTAGAGTATGCGAAAAGCGTACATAAAATGAAAACAGATGATTTCTTAAAAAGAGAACCTAGAGAGTTGTATGACATCCAAAAATTGGTTTACATCCTTACTTACATTTATAAACAAAACAGGAAAATAAAACAGGGAAAAATGCATTTTGTTATATTTAATGAATTTGGTATAAGATCATATATTAAGAACTATTGAATTCTTGTTTAAGCTAAACTGTTTGTTCACTACAAATGCTCGGATTTTTCTATTGCATGTCTAGCAACACCATTTCAAGAAAATTGCACACACATAAATACATTTGACACATACCTGAAAAAAAACACCATTTCAACTAAAGACTGCTTCTTTAAGGAAAAGGTCTCTTTTTAACAAATATTGTTTACCATATTTATAGATATAACAGAAATCTACAGTTCTTGTTATAATCGAAATAAAAACGATTAAGAAAGGGGGAAAATGTAATTGTAACATTAATTTTCAGAAAATTGATGAGATTATCTTAAGAATCTACTTCCAGAAACACGATATTAAGATCTGTTCTCATGATTAAAGCCTATCAAACCTGATGGTGATTCCTGATATATTCACCTAAAATGAACTGAGGGCAAAGGAAGTTAAATGATGTACTCTTAGCTACTCTCAAATCACGGAAATAAAAGACGGGAAAAGAAAAGGGGGTTTTAGGAACTACAAGTAAATTTATGAAGATATGAAGTAACCTCAGGTAAAGGTAAAATCTCGTCATATCTGCGCATGCTTTGAAACTGGGAAGGTTTTAATCAGTTGATTTCTCGTCAGCCGAATGGTCTCCACCATGGAATCTAAACTACTGACAAAAGACAATAAAAGGTATGTTATTAAACATCAGAAAACTAATGTTTTGTTAATATTTTTATTTTTAAATTTTGGTCCTTATTCTCAAAATATAAATATTTGTTCAGAGAACTGCGAATGGCGAATCCGATATATGGAGGAAAGTATTGCATAGCTGAGAACGAATCTCGTACATGGAAATCTGAACAAGATTCTGAAGACATTCGGAACAAGGTTAATTCCGGAAAAGATTGGGTGGATATTATTACAAGCGAAAATTTTCAGAAAGAATTTTCAGATTCATCTGCTCGGGTAAAGTGTGAATTCTGATATCGTTTTATGATTTCAAGTAAAACAAAATGCATGTACCTGATAAAATTTGTGAACATATATCACACTATTTTCTCATGATTTAGAAATTATAGTATCTTTATAAGATGTAATTTATTTTCCATAACTTGTTAGTACACTCAAAGATTAAAATGAACATACAGAGGTTTTCTTTTTCTAAGCATAAAAAATGGGATAAAGAATTTCAAAGTAAAGTCAATAAGCTGTACCTCCGGAAGTAATTTTAAATTTTCCAATAAAAACTAACCCTTTCAGACACAAATACACTGTAGATTCCTGAATATATACGTAGAATTTTATATCGCATTATTTAAGGAGCGACATCACTCACAAAATAAGAATACTAGCATTTTAGAAATACATTTGAAAACTCATGGTAAACAAATCATGATTATTCAATCTTACTACTAGGTTTCCTTTTCCGATATTCATTACTCGCGGAAAATAGCGAATCTTCACTATAGGGTGGCACTACAATACCAGTATTTTCCTGAATTTATTTACTGAACATACTTCGGATATATAATGTTCATAATTTTTATCATAAAATACTTGAATGTTTTTATCTCATAAAACAGTTTAACACAACGAATCGTGAACAGGGCAAAAACACGGACTCCTGGAAACACCGAAGGTAAGATTAGTTGCCTAGAAGGAGTAATGCATTTCCTGTTGACCTGTCCCACCTTCTATGTATTTATCAGGCTTACGAGTACTCTTTAATCAAATTTAGTATAAAAGCAGTGACCGAACAACGCTATATAGGTTTTATTTGCAATTAAACAAGGTCATCGTAGCGACTGTAGAATTTGCGAAAAGTTGATTTTAAACCGGGTTGTTGTTTTTTTTAAATATATTGATTCTCAATAACTTACAACAAAATGCGGAGGCAAAACTCCCGCAGAAGCCCACACCTGTGGTGCCAAGAGCTCCCTCGATCGGTATTTTTTCAATATTTAATTTACAAAATTATATATACACTAGATGAAGAAAATACATAAATATATATCATTGTTAACATTTCATTTATACACATATGTATATATATCATTGTAAAATATTTCTTTTGTATATACAATAAATATTATAGATGAAATATATCTATATTCTATTTATATACTTATCAAAGTACTTACAATCAAAACACAAAAAAAATCATATTTGGTCAGCAATTTTTTTTAAAAGATGGCAATTGGATTTAACACTCCTTGCAGCCTTTGCTATTAAATAATACTGATTATTACAGCCGGGTCGTTGAAATCCTCGTAACATCAACTTATTTGTGAGTAGCTTGCTTTGGCTTAAAAATTGATCTTACTCAGAGCATGCCCTTGCGTATCGAATCAGTTGGGAGACATACACATCATATGCAGGTGATGTTGGAATATATCAGTTTAGATACCAGAAGTTAGACGTTGAATTTTGATCATTATATGATTTTTCAAAATAATGATATGTGTTGTTCTCCCAATTGATTGTCCAACGTGTCCAAATTTCCTTGTGTATTCGGTTCCTATACTTTAAAACCAATATGCTAGTATCAACCTCACTCTTCTATTCATTTTTGACTAAATTGATGACTACCAAAGAAATTCAGTCCGTCTTATTAAAATGAAAAATGTCTTTAATTTTATTATAAAAGTATAACTTAATTAGATTATAGCGTAAATTTTATCTTTTAACCATAGTTCTAATCCATGCAAATAAAGTACAAAATTATACTGTTGGTACAGGTTTGATGTTATGGACAGTTTAACCATAAATAAAGCATTTGATTTCATTTACTGAGCGATTTCTAGTCATGTAATGACATGTAAACATTGTTTTTAAAGATAGTTACATTGATTTGTTGCATACAGAGGACGCGCAAATGCGTCTTAAATGCTCCCTTGTTAAGTGATTATTATGTAAACGTTTAACTTTGTCAGTGTTACAATAATCACCTTCTAATAACAAGTTGTTAGGTTTTTTCAAAATAAGGAAAGGTGTATTTGTTTAGGTTTTAGGGACTTCAAAAACTCACGAGAAGGAAATTAATTGTGGAAATTAATTTTTAAGGAAATCTGAAGTTCTGATACCATTAAATGTATAGTACATCATTTTTAAGAGACTTTATATATTCATACTAGTAAAAATGATTTCTAATACTTTTAGTATTATAAATGGATTACTATTCCATGTAAATTGCTTGAAAAACGTTATTGATATGCATGAGTACACGTTTTTTCATGAAAATTCTGCGAAGGTTTAAAAACAACAGCTTGTTCAGATATAAGGTCTTTAAACATCTCATTGTTTACGTGGAAACCCAAACCATATCAGAGGAATGGATAAAGATTAAATTCCAATTGATGGTTTCTGACATGTTGAACAGGAAGATGAATTGATTTTTAATCTTAGCTGTGGTTAAGGAATGTTTTTGTCTTCTGCTTAACAATTGTTACATGCATTGTCTGAGGTTCATGTTATATGTATTATTTAGAGAACGAGACAGGTACTGTATCGTCGATACAAAGGGGAAGTTTCGATAAGGCTGTTTTTCGGCCCCTCAAGAAATATAATGAAATTGTGATATGTTGTAGATTAAAGTGTTATCTTCCTAAAAATATGAAAAAAAATTATACTGCACATTATCTGGTCACGTGATAATTAAAAAATTAAGTATGCCCTCTTCCCTATATTTTTGGAGGGATCATATTTAAAGGGGGTAATGGAGTTTATTTAACGTCAAAATCATAATGAAACATTACAAATGTGAATAAAGACATCAAATAACCAATTTCAATATTTTTCTTTACAGAAAATTAATGATATTTATTTTATTTGAATGCGTTTTAAGGTGCAAGATTTTTCTCGTGTTTTAATTGTAACTCTTCTTTCAAAGAGGATGAATGTAACATATAAAACGAATATGAATAATAAAGACAGGAAATTTCAAAAAATGAATCAATTGACAGTTTATACTTAGAATTAATAACCAATATATTACATTTTCCCGTACGTAGAAAAGCAAATGTAAAGATATATAGACAAGAGATAGATAAACGTAAACTGTCATTGACAGGTGTTTGACACTGCTTGCAACACATTTTATCAACTAAAGTTATTGTGCTAAATATAGTATTAATAAAATGTACCGTAATATCATTAAATTGAATTTAAAAAAAAAAATCTTGAAATTAACAGATTTCGGAATTCAGTACGATTAAAAAATGCAGCTATTTATATTTTTAGAGTATATTTAAAAGAATCATACTGCAATGTACATTGTATTTAATAATACCAAGCGTATAACTACCAGTCAAATATTTTATCAAGATAGTAATTATTAGTCCCATACCGGTGAAGCCGGGGGGTCTATAGGTTTCCTCATCGTCTGTCCGCCTGTTTGTCCGTCCGTCTGGCTGTCTATTTGTCAGTCTGTTCCACTTGGTTTTTCGCACTTTTCTCTAAATGCTTGCAGATATTGAGCTGGTTTTGGTATTGTGTATCCTGAAGAGAAACAGAGTTTGAAATTCAAGTTTGAATTTCGTTAAATTCTGCTTCATTGATTTTTGACGGAATATTACAAATTCAAAAAAAAGGGGGGGGGGGGGGTCGGCGTTTTTTGTTTTGTTTTTGTTTTCTAAAACAATTGCATATATTGAACTGATTTTTGTAATGGTGTATGTGTTACACTTGAGTTATAGATCAAGTTTGCATTTTCTTCCGCTTCAATGACTTTTCAAATAGGGCATTTTCAATTTTTATGGAAACCAGGTTATACTTGGTATGCCGATAGTGGACTATTATTGCTAATGCAGTGCTTACAGAATGCGTGAATAAATAGCCAAATGATAAAAAAAAATAAAATACATTGAGTACATGTCTTCTATTCATTCTTGAACTTTAACTATTCATTCTTAAACTTAAAAGTATTTACGCATATAAAGATGTGCATTATGTTTTCAGCAAAAATGAGACAATCCAGGCAAGCGAGGAGATCTACATGTACATGTAATATTCCTCGCGCTTCCCAACTTCCTTTTGATACTTATGTTGTTTCACCAACTCTAGTTACTATTTGATTTGCTAGACCATAGTCGCAATTTAAAATACATTTGTAAATACCAAATGTATGTGTTAAATCATATCCTGTAGAAACGTACAAATCAACATCCAGTCTTAAAAGTAATCTACGTTCCCTACATGTAGACCACACGGAAATATATGACATTGTGAACCTACTCTAACAGATTGAAGCGATTCTATTCAAAGAAATGGCTACAACCATATCCATGATAAAGAACGTTAATGAATGGACTGATTCTTAAACTTCTCTTTAGTTCAGTCAGTCATTGGAAAATGTAAGATCCGGCATCTGTTATAGTTCTGGTAATGTGTAACCCTAAATGCATCATCGGTGCATATTTCTTCAAGATAGGGATTATAGTTACATGAAAATGAGACATGCTCCAAAATATATACCCTGAGCATTCATCAAGAAAATATAAGTCAGATCTAGCATCTGAAGCAAGTCTGACAGTGTGCATCCGAAGATGCATCATGAAGCACGTCCTCTCAACAAGTGCTTATAGCTGCACTGCTCCATAGACATTAACCTGCTTTAAAAACATTAACCTGGACATTCTTTAACTGAAAATGCAGCATCTGAAACCCGACAGATGACATGAAAACACACTAGATCAGGCGACTCTGATGATATGAAAAAAATTGACTAAAAACTTTTAATAACCTATTCGCCTATAACGATGGTATTACAAAAGCTCCCCCAACTTTGTGTAGGTGAACTAAATATATGACGTTAACGTTATACGCGGGCGACAAAATAAATATGGAAATAACGATACATGTAGGATACGATTATGTTTTCTTATGTTAATATTTTCGAGAGTTCTCTTTGGTTTAGAAAAAATATGCTACTTTTGGCTTTGTATTTTAACACGGCGTTAGATCAAGTAACCAGGAGCTTCTAATTTTAGATATGCAAATTTTAAACAATTTTCAATTTTTGGATATGAAGTGCACACGCGACACTTAATATCATATTTTAAGATATTAGTGTGCAGAGTATATCTAAGTACTGAACAAAACTAGGTGAGTGTCCCTCATGCACTTTATATTCTAACCATCGATTTATAAATGCCACCCTCTTATATTTTCCCATTAGCCTAATGTTAAAGCATTTGAGGGTACATCTAAGAATGTGCCAACTACGGCGTGAATTCATCTCATATTTAACTCTTGAAATATAAATAACAAAAATTAACATATATATCTTGAATTCTAAACCAATTTTGAAAAAAATAAAAACGAAATTTATTTTTATGAAAATAAGTGGGCCGATAAGCGGCCTTATCGAAACTCCCCCTTTGGGGGTGGACGAGTGCGTAGCACGAGTCTCCACCCCCAAATTTCTATCTACCTTACAGAACCTGTCGAGTTCTCTAAATAATTTGTGACACGATCAATCAAAAAAAGCACCGCCCACTTCATAGCTGTGCAGCATCCAAACTTCCGCCAGAGTTCGTTTGTTCTCACTGTAGATGAGGCCTCGACGGGTAGTATACATCCGCAGTATATATATTTCCAGGGACAACGTAAGATTTAGTCGGATTAGTTTTGACAACGGGATAGACGTAACAGACTTGAAGTCAGTATTAATTGAAAAGGTGGGCGATTTAACCTTGGAGATTGATCCTAATATATTTCAGGGGTCTTAAAATCTCAGTTAAACTAGATATGCATGCATGCGATACAGACAGTGTTTCGATGGACTTTGATGTTAGGGATTTTTATTTTCTTATTGAAATGCGACATAAAAAACGAAGTGAAAGAGATGTGCGGCAGTCCTCAGCGAAAAGGATTTAAGATGAAATTTAAAAAAAAAAACAAAAAAACCTGAAAAATGGACTTGATAGAGTTTGCACGAGAAGAGTGGAAAATGGGCGGAGGGGGAGTGCGAATTTCACGTAGTGTATGCTGCATCCGCGAACCCACTGGCTTTACTATTTTGAAGGGGACACAAAAAAGCAGGGAAAGCAAACAGGTTTTCAGGAATTTATCCAACATAGGATGTTTTCCATAATTGCGACTTTTCCTTTTCGTTTGGATCGAAATAACGTGTAGATTCTGTGTGGAATAATTTTTAAAAAGTGATTGAGAAATTTTGACATTTTACATTCCTAAGGAAATATTTCTTCAAATTTATAATAGGAAAAAATCAGCATTTACTATTTGAACGTGCTTTTGATAAATTGAATCAGATTTATTTTTAGACCGTGCTGTATTTTAGATACAGAACAGTTGGCTAATACAAGACAGTATACAGAGCTAATACAGAACAGAAAGAAGCTCCACCCACTGTATTTCCGTTCTGTATTGCTAATATAGAACAGCAAACTTCAAAGAAAAACACCGGAATCGTGTCACAAAAAAATAAACCACATTGATCGACTTTTTGGTATGTTGATTTGAATGGTCGTTGTAGTGTAACTTCTGCTTACTGGAAATGCTGAATGATTGCTGGCTGCTCTTACTTTTCTTACATGTAAGCAGATGCTTAACAGAAAATGATCCCAGCTCTGTAAGTCAATGGCCAACTCAGAATCACATAAAAATGTATCAGAATCTCGAATGCGTAGGAGGAAAAAAGGCAAAAACGTTGTTGAATGTACGCTTAGACTGAGTAAAGCATGGCCAGACAAGCTCTTTCTTATATAACTTAGAATTAATTTAAAGCTTTAAAATAAATAGCAAAATATTTTAATGAAGATTTTTTAATATGCTTAGAAAGTTGATTTGGTTGACATCAATGCTAATTGAGCAGAACCTAAGTTGATTTAAGTGCTTGCTATGGGTTGACTTCTGATGTTGGTAATGGAAATCTACTCTACTGATTTAATAAGATCAATGCTACCTGAAGGATATTGTTGCAATTATCAGAGTTACGGCATGCAGTGCAGAAATTCTTTACAGTTATATGGTACTAATGTTCGAAAACTTTTTAAGTTTACAATGCTGTTGATTGCTAGAAGATAACACTCGTACTTACACCAAAGATTCTGAGCCTATTACAGAGTTTTCATGTGCTGGCATTTATTTTATAGAAAATGATACCTTATCTATGCTCTATAATCAGAAGGCAATAACGTACATGTATGAAGAGTCTACGAGCTCTTCTGATGAGTACGATCTAGACAAAAATACTGTATTTCGTCCTGAAAATAAAAATCACAGCATGTGGCTCAGTCCATATTTAGAGAACAAAAACATTGCCAATGGTTTTTAAATAATCTCTCTAAAAGTAAATTTGAATTTAAGTGATTACGAATGAAGATAAGTCCATATCTTTAGTAAAATAGTTATTGATTTTCATTTTATTTTATGATTTGTGACTTCAGCTTTCCAAACGTCAACTTTCCTTCTTTATATTCCAACATTACTTGCATATGGTGTTTGTCTCCCAACTATTCGATACGCAAGAGCATGCTCTGAGTAAGATCAATTTTTAAATCGAGGCAAGCCACTGACAAATACGTTGATTATACAAGGATTTCAACAACGCCGTTAAAAATCTGCTTTGTTACAAATTCTACGGTCGTTAAGTATGTAATAACATCTTATTGCTGGATCGTATTTGACATGTTTCATATTAATTGTTAGGTATTGCTTTTATACTAAATTTGACTACGGAGTACTTCATGTGCCTGATCATAACATAGGGTGCAGGGCTGGTATGACCAATCGACAGGAGATGCTTACTCCTTCTTGGTACCTGATCCCACCTCTCGAGTTTTTAAAGGTCCATTTTTTTGTCCTGTTCATGATTTTTTTGTTTACTGGATTTATGAGATTGATCACTGTTCGTTATTTTCACCTTTTACATTTTGGCGTAGCATTTTTTTTTTTTTTTTTTTTTTTTTGATAATTTTGCTATATTCGTTAGAAAGGAATTAGATTTGCAGAATTATGATTTCTTATTGAAGGCAACTTTGCATCACAACACTAGTTATGGAATTCTTGGTCGTCAGCAAGGCTATGATTTATCTCCAGAATACAAAAATCCAAATCCCACCAAGAAGCATGTCAAATATAAAGGACGGATCATCTCTACCATTATCATAAGCTGTTTGGTGGCTGTCGCAGCAGTAGTTACTGTCATCTGTATTTTACTGAATAAGACAAAGAACGACAAGAAACTCTATGAAATTGGTAAATCAGAAATATATAATAAAAGTTTGTACATGTAACTTTATCTCTGAGATGTGTGTTTTCTGTACGTGTTGTCTGATTCTGAGATACAGAAAAGATGACATCAAGAAAATTTTGTTATTCCAAGGTTAATTCTAGCTTCCTTCGACTTGAGCAATGTTAGAAAACTATAAATATATGCTGTATAATTTTTCACGTTCTTGACGGGCATATCTGGTAAAATGTGATTAAACATTGTACAGAATGTTCGTTAGGATGAGAGATCTATGACAACGGCCAACTATTTGATTATGCAGATCTATTTGATTTTTTAAGAAAATCATAATTTTTTTTTTATTTAAGTAAAAGCTGAAGGAAAAATAAGTATTCAACAAGCATTTATAAAGGAGTTAAACAATGCAGCATCTGACACATACCTCAACTTTACACGCGAATTTGTAAAAGAGGTAAGATTTTATACTTTCCTTATAATATTATAAAATATATCTTTTACTAACTAACTAACTAACTATATATATATATATATATATATATATATATATATATATATATATATATATATAACTATGAAACATTTTTCTTTTATTAAGACGACGACCACTCTCAAACACAATGGTTTAACAGGTTTGCGAAACTGTACAGTAACAGGTGTCCGGTACGTTCCTGAATGATTTCTTTGAGATAATTTAACAAAAAATAAAATAATTATTTAGCAATGCAATATTTCTAGTTTTCAATGCTCATGTTATATCTCTTGCAGGAATGGAAGCATTATTGTTGAATTTGATTTATTTTTGGAAACTCTCATCAGCACATTTACTACACAAACCTTGAAAACTGCGTTCAAGGATTCATTTGTCATAAAAGAGAACGGGAATGTGTATTTTGGAAAATATCATATTATAAGCTCCAGTTTATCAATATCAATTGTTTTATCATCTCAAATTTCAACAACAAACAACAAAACGTACAATACAACTCATACACCTTCAATGAATTCTACATCTCCAACTACAGTAATATTTTCCGATTCAAGTCACTCTGTTGTAAAATCCTTTAACACAGAGGCGCATACAATTCCATATACAAATGCCAATGTGACAACAACTACGACAAATAAGTTAACAACGATACTAGAAAATCCCGATGTATCTAAAACTATAACGCCATATGCAAACACAACGATATTGAAATCATCCAGGGAGCCAACAACTACAACACCTTATAGAGCAACAATGTTGAAAACTCCCAACGCGACTACAACTGCAACACTTACAACAACCACATCGGTATTGAAAACTTCCAATGCTTCTACAACTACAACATTTAATAAAACCACAACGATATTAAAAACTCCTAATGCGTCTTCAGCTGAAACACCTAATACAACCACAGCGATTTTGAAAACTTCCGGTGTGACAACAAGTACAACACCTAGTACAACCACAAAGACATTGAAAACTGCCAATGCTACTCCAACAGCTATTTTGAAAACTTCAACACTTAATACAACCACAACAATACTGAAAACTCCAAATGTGACTACAACACTTAATAAACCTACAACACTTTTGAAGACTCTAAGTTTTTCTACAAATCTTCGCACAACGCCAACGATATTTTTAACTCTTAATGCATTTACAATACCTGATACAACAACAGTGATACTGAAAACTCCCAATTCTCCCAATGCGTCTACATTACCTAATACCAGCACAATGATATTGAAAAATTCCTATGCGATCACAGTAAGTGATAAAACCACAACGACATTGAAACCTTCAATAACAAATACAACTACGACTCTTATGACAACCTCAATTCCTACAGGAACTACAATTCCTTCTCGTCTAACAATTCCGACAGGTCTCAAAATTTCTACAGCTACAATTCCTACGACAAATTCTACTTTAAAATCAATTTCTTTAACTTCTGCTGCAACCTCAAATCCAAGGACTACTTTGGATGAGTCACCCTCTATACCAGAGGAGTTAAGCACGAATCTCGAACTGACTACAACGAAGACTTCATTATCTTCAAAAGCTACAATTCCAAAGGCATCTGCAACTGTTACACCTACAATCATTAGCGTATTTTCTCATACCATAACTCCCAGGACAAGTAAAACTTCTTCCTCGACAATGACGACTTCAACACCACCTTCAACAACTTCTTTGACAATTACGACGTCATCAGCAGCAAAACCAGCCATTTTTACAGCCATCACCACTATTCCATATTCATCAACAATATCTGCTTCTGATAGTAAAACTACAACATTAGGATCACCATCGTCCACCATAACGTCTTCAACAGTTTCTACACCAACTACACCAACAACTCCAAAGTTACCCTTAACTACATTTTCAACTTTGCCTCACATTTTTTCTAAGAGTCAAAGTACAAAACCATCTGCAACTGCAAGTAGTGCTTCAACTTCCATTCCAACTACTATCCTAACACCGCCTTCACCACCACAACAGCGTACTCCACAGTTGCGAACAACACATACTGTTTAATGCTGATTTCCTGACAAAGTCTAGCATAACTGTCATAATGTATCCTGTTACAGGTATAACACTGGCTACAATAGCCTCAACCATTACTAAAGTAATTCAGTTTGTGTAATCTAATTCTGATAGCAAAATTATCATTTTTACTTGTAATATGCCAGTGTGCAAATATCAATGATATGTAGGTATGACCTCTTTGCATAATGTAAGAACCCCCTCAATATTTTAACACTTATGTTCAAAATAAAGTCAATTGATAAGTTAAAAGCATGTTTTCAAGAACGGAAGTATAAAAAAATTGTAATAAAATGCACTTATATGCAAATGTGCTTTTGTACTCATATATCGATAATCAATAAGTAAAACAAGAAAAAATGAACTTACATTTTTTTGTATTGATTTATTTTTTCTTCCATTTGATCTATTTTTTGCGTTCTAATTTGTTTCACTCAAATAAAAATGATTTATTTATTATAACAAGCAGCATCAATACTAATCCTTCACCGGCATGTGTAAACTTGTTCCCCTTAAAAGTTGAAAAATGTCGCAAATCCGTCAAAACGCATCAAAGTGGAAAGAAATGCACTCGTCATGGTAGCCTTTTGTACCAAAAATAAGCTAAATACCTACAAACGTGTAGAAAAAATGCGGAAAACCAAGTGGGACAGACTGACTAACAGAGGGACAGATGGACAGGAACAAAGTATAGAGAAGGAAGTGCTTGTTTGCCAGAATTAGGACAATTCAATGTCAAAATCAACCATTTCAACTGATTTTTCAACATTTATATAATTTAAAAAAAAAACAGCATTTTCAAATTGATTCTGTATTTCCATCAAGTATTTTGGCTAAGTTATCGTATGTGCAATGAAGATTCGGAATTTTATCTTGATGAAATCTTAGCTTATTGAATTTAGTTTTTCAACTGATTTTTTCAACATTTATATAATTAAAAAAACAGCATATTCAAATTTATTCTGTAGATTCTTTCCATCATGTATTAATTGCTAAGTTATCGTATGTGCAATGAAGATTCGGAATTTGATCTCGATGAAATCTTAGCTTATTAAATCTAGTTCAGGTGAAGCACGTCAAAATATGGATACATTTACAATTTATCATACCTTTGTGTATTTTCTTGTCAAAAATATGATGAATAATTTTGCTATTTTTTTCTAAATAGCCTATGTCGTGAAAAAGTTTACGTGCAATTTTTAAATAGGTGACGAACTATTTTCCGGTAACATTCAATTTCGCTCGCGTTTCACTTTTCCGGTATTACAGGATGAAGTTTTATCATTCAGTTAACGGAAACCCGACTAAAAGTCCACTGAAAGGTGACTGAATGGAAGAGCTCTGACATTCAGTGAACTTTCCAGACCTTTCAGTGACCTTTCCGTTGACTGAATGGTGTAGGTTCATCCTGTGTTAACTTTATCCAGAACCTGACGTGACAAAGTAAAGTCGTATTCGGTGTAATAAAACACATATTACTGACTATTGGGACTATTTTCAGTTGCATATTGGAGGACAATATATTTTCTATTGTCTTCGTAGCCATTAAATAGCTCTATAATAATATGTAGTTGTACCATAATTATTTATTGATTATGTATATATAGTTGAACATAATACATAGAAATATATAATTTTTATTCTGAATTAATTTTGCAAGAAAAATATTTGTGTGAAGCTCATGTGAAGAAAATAACAAAATAACTTTTTATTTTTCATCCTCCAATACGACAGAAGTGGCCAATCGATATATTTATAATTCATTTTCTAAAATTTCAAATATACATGTTAGATTTCAATTTTGACAATCGTATATTTCTGGAGGATGATATAACATTGTTTAAATACTCAGATATCTCAGGCAGGGTTTAAGGCGTTAATCTATCTTTCGATGTGTATCTTAGCTATTATAATTTTGGTGCACAACGATAGTCACCAGAACAAAAGAAAAGTGACCCTGTGGATAATCTACAGGCTGTTAACAGATTATTTAATTATTAGAAGTAGGACAATAGATGTATTTTACATAATTATATACATGTATTTTGATTGGGACTGCAAACATGTAAGGCTCCTGAAATATTTTTATTTGGAATACGATTTTATTCATTCTAACAAAAATAAAATAAATAAATTTACATATTTTTTCGAATCAAAATAAAGGAAAATAATCTATACATCAGGAAGTTCTTGTATTACATTATTATTTTTAGAAAACGGGCGTGATATATCTAAGATAATAAATACAGTCAAAGGACAAGAGGGTCAGAACTTTTTATCCATTGAGATAACACATGTAGATATGAAATAACATCCTAAATAAAATGACAGCAAAAACATTTGTTGAACTTTCAGCACGCATGCTTGATATATTTTGAATTAATAAAAATTCACGAACAAAGAGAAGGGGATACGTAGCAAAGTCAGGAACTTTATTTCTTAAAGGTAAGTCAGATTATTTTCTTGACGCACTTGCCTATCATACAGATGAAATGTTCTTAATTTATTGAACGCCCCAACTGTCTTATGAGGATAACATTCAATCTGTGATGATACTCGGACTAGATGAAGCCCTCCTAATCCACTGGTATTGAGTGATGTCTCATATGAGTGAATTATTCTTGCATGGGACGTAAAAAACCCAAACAATCAAATGCTGATACTTATTATTATCATCATTATATACACTACGGTCAACGCGGATCCCGCATTTTCCCGCGACCCCGCGATGGTGTTTTAATCCTTTCCGCGATACACCGTCGCGGTTTTATCATCGCGGTGATCGCGGGGACACGAGATTACCGTGACGGTGTGCTCTACCGTATTTTACTCAATGTGAAGTCGATAATCCTTCTGCTTAATGTCAAAGTAAGGATATTTGATTGTGAATATATAAGATTGGTTTTTTTTTTTTAATTTGACTTAAACATGTGAAAATTCTAGAAATAATTTATAAAAACTTTTTTTCAGTCTAAAGGGTGATACATGTATTTAAATGATACTTGGCATTTATTCTATTAATTTAAAAATATTATCATTGTTGTAGTTTCTAATAAGTAACCTGAATTATAGTGAGGAGATCTATAAATCAACATACATGTAATTTTTTTATTGTAGTAAATATCGATTCGATTTATTTTACGCCCTTTTTACATCATAACAGTTTTTTCATACAGTATTACTGCAATTTTTTTTTCTTCGAATTGAAAATTACAATGTGTATATCACTGAAAAAAATTAATTGAAAACACATTTTCACGCCAAATTACCTCTTCCAACATGTTCAAATATTATTTACAATAATCCCGAATATTTGTTAGAATTATGGGCCTGAATAAAAAAAAAAACAGCTCTGTTCATCATGTTCAAATATTCTAAAAGAAGTCGACAATAGATATATTTTTATAAAGCTAAAAAAAATTAAATGGTTGCGTTCTCAGCTGATAATTAAGCAGAGAAGTCATTAACTAAATAAGTTGAAACTGACCAAACACGTGTACATGTATTACACAATCACAGCGTGTGCAGTGGGGCGTAGCTAATATCCTATCGGTCGCCCACTATAAGACTATGGGTTCTCGGAAAATTCACGAGATGATCAAGCCCTTTTACGATAACCGTGTTTTCAAGCTGTAAAAACTGTATGTATTATTTCAGTAGCCGGTCTTGACACCTTGATCACCCATCATACTACCACTTATACGAGCCTGGTCTCGGATAAGTGAGTTTATTTCAGTAACCCTAGTAATATTTATCTATTCCGTATAAGTTACGTACATTCGGATAAATATAGATTTTCACCCTTAGTCACAAGCTATCATTCCGGATAATTGAGGTCCATTCGTATATAGTCTAATAGTAAGTTCTCTTCTACCTCCTTTCTCAAAGAATCGATTAAACGGTAAGGTCATGGAAAATTTTTGGGAGTTAAATTGTGGCAATGTTTTAAATTTTTTAAATCAAATAAGTTTGATTTTTAGTATAACTATTGAGGTTTGTAGTTTCAAAGCAAATTAGACGTATCGATGGCGAAGTTTGACTTTGGATTTGACCTGATTGGACTTTTTCGTAAACTGAATTGATTTTACGCGATACTGTAATGAGTGAGTTACAGATAAAAGGAATAAATTAAGATCAGTTTGGGGGTGTCAAAAGATTGTTTAACTTGAGTTATTATTTTTAGGAGCGAAATGTTAAACTTCGAGTCCATCATAGCTATAACGGGGGGGGGGGGGGGGGTAATTTCATAAAACACGGAATATTCTAAGAAGCCGGGCTTATTAGACGGATTTTAGTTTGTTTTCTACATAGATTTATCGTGCTTGAAGGAAGTTTATTGATTCGCATTTTACAAAATGTAATCGTCGTTAAATCGGAGAAAGCATTCAAGAGTTTGTGCACTTTCACTTTTTGAAGTAATCAAAGTACTGTATGTACTGAGAGGAGATTTATTAAGTTGTAGTAGTGTTATGCTCTATTTGCAGACTTGTAACGTTTCATTTGTTTATTGGTCTTTTGAAAAAGTATGGAAGAGTACTGTTTGTTATCTTTTCCAATTTTTTAATTTTTTTTTTCATGTTATCCTGGCATTTACATAGAACATGTTACCAAGAAAACAAAAAGGTCTAAGGTTTTAAAGGTGATATTGTATGAACTGATTTTCCTATTACATAATGGGAGGGGAGTTAATTTGTATATTATGTTACACAACATATGGGAACTCATGTGGTCCACATGGTCAATTACTGCATAAAAATCCAACTAATGAAAGCAAAATCACAGTTTAATGAAATAGGATGAAAACATTTCTTATTAATTTTGCAAGCATTTGTCTCACAGTGAGCAGTCGAACCGTAGCAAAGCTGTGGAAAAGTATTCTTCATATGCTTTAGAATAGGTATGCAAATTTGCAGGGTTCAGGCACAAGCAAGGAGCGAATGATATTGGTACAAAAGGCAGTAAGTACAATAAAAAACCTTAAGTAAGTGATA